TCAATGAAATGTGACAGCGGGATGTGACATTTCTGCTGATGATCGAACCAGTCATTATCCCTCAATCCCTCAATGAAATGTGACAGCGGGATGTGACATTTCTGCTGATGATCGAGCCAGTCAATATCCCTCAATGAAATGTGACAGCAGGATGTGACATTTCTGTTGATGATCGAGCCACTCAATATCCCTCAATGAAATGCGACAGCGGGATGTGCCATTACCGGTGATGATTATCCCTCAGTGAGACGTGACAGCGGGATTTGCCATTACCTCTGATGATCGAGTCAGCCATTATCCCTGTTGGAGCAATCAACCACTCCCGCTGATAAGTTGATCAGACGTTCTTGCTGATTGGAAAAACAAAGGTCTGATCTAGGAGAAGAGAGAGGACCTTCACGAATGGGAATAAGAGGTGCATGTGAGGGCATGAGAGAGGTTTTTTTTTTTTTTTTTTTTTTTTTTTCCCCTTTCGTTAAATCTTTTTTTATTACTTATAACTCGTTAATGATCTTATTTCTCAACGACACATGACTGGCCTTGATCAGGATCGGGCGCTTTCAAGCTTGACCCAGCAAACTAGTGGTCAGGGCCGAACTAACCCCCTTATCAAGTGTGTGGGGTAAATGAGAGAAGGAGAGGAAAGAGAAAGAGAGAGAAAGACAGTGGAGAGTGAGAAGGGGAGAGAGTGAGTGTATGTGTGTGACGGTGAGGGGGAGCGTGACAGGCAGATTAAACCGCACTGCCTTGTTGCGTCACTGAGGACCTCTGATGCGGACAAGGCGGGTGACAGATGCCGTTGTCCTTGGCTTTCGCGATGAACAGGGTCCCCTCCCCGGGTTTCCTCACACCGGTAGTGAGAAGGCGTCGAATTACGAGAGGAGCAATTCGCATACTTGTCGTGAAACTCGGGGTCGGCTTGGTAGCCGCGGATGAAGTTGTCCTGCAGGTCGTCATCCATCTCGAAGGTCGAATAAACTGCGGTACAATGATCCGGACGCCGTGAAAGAGCATCCGCGAAACGGTTAGACTTTCCCGAAATGTGATCAGGACAGAAGTAAAATTGGTCGATGAAAGTCATCCAACGGGCGATCATGCTAGTGACGGTGTCTTGGGTCTTGTAGAAGACCAACGGATTGTTGTCCGTTACCGATCGGAATTGACTTCGACCAAGGAGGAAGTGCTGCCACCGCTTGAGCGCGTGGACGAAGGCTAGGAGCTCCTTCTTGTGTGCATCATCAATGGAGTGCACGACGGACACTTTCTTGTTGAAGTACTTGACCGGGTGCCAGTCCACTCCATCGTGTTGTTCGAAGACGGCAACAATGCCATAGCCGGACGCATCCGTAGTGATGTGCGTTGGCAATAACGGGTCGTAGATTCGCAAGACCTCCGCGGACAATAATGCGGCTTTGAGAGCCAAGAGTGATTCCCGTGCATCCCCCCCGAAGTCGAACGGCCGATCCTCGCATTGAAGCTTGGTCAAGTGGACCGCGATCTTCGAGTATCCCTTGATAAAACGTTGGTAGTAGCCGGCAAGGCCAAGGAACGAACGGACATCTGTGACGTTCCGTGGCTCCCACCACTCTTGGATGGCTTGAATCTTGTCCGACAACGGACTGATGCCCTTCGGTGTGACAAAATGGCCCAAGTATTCCAACTCTTGCCGAACAAATTCGCACTTGTCGCGGTTGGCTTCGTACTTGGCGCGGCGGAGCATCTCCAACACTCGTCGAAGGTGCTCAAGATGATCCTCCAATGTCCAGCTATAAACGAGAACGTCGTCTAAGTAGACCAGCACAAACCGGTCCAACATTGCACGAAACTCGTTGGTCATTGCCGCTTGAAAGGTCGTCGGGGCATTGGTGAGGCCAAAAGGCATGACCACCCACTCAAAATGCCCGTACCGTGTCTTGAACGCGGATTTATAGCGATCGTTCGGCCGAATTGAAATTTGATGGTATCCTGATTTCAGATCCAACTTAGGAAAGTACTTCGCGCCACCCAATCGCTGAAGGAGATCGTCAATACGAGGAAGAGGCCCTGCATTCTTGACGGTTTGCGCGTTGAGCTTGCGGTAGTCGATGCACAATCATAGATCCTTGTTCTTCTTCCGTACGAAGAGAACTGGTGCTCCATATGGGGAGCTACTAGGGCGGATCCAACCCTTGTCCAACAAGTCATCTAGTTGCGCGTGGAGGACCGTGAGCTCACCCTCGCTTATGCGATAAATGCAGCCTTTCGGCGGTACGACACCGGCCTCAAGATTGATCTTGTGAGAGATCGACCGATGCAGCACCACACCGGTAGGTGACTCGAAGATGTCGGTGAACTTATCAAGCAACCGCACCACACGGGGGTCCAAAGACAAGTCCGTGGGGGAAGAGTCGGCTACCGCGACGGTCCGTAGGGAGCATAGGCCTATCTCGTCGGGTTGCTCGTAAGCGCAAGTAGCCCGGAACGACTTGGCTGTCACCACTTGGCACCGAATCGAAGGGTGCGGAAGAGGAATAGTACACGACACTTCGGCGCCGGAGGTGTCCCGAACGGTAAGAGTCCGTCGGTGGAAGTTGACCTTGTGATCCGCACCTGCAAGCCAAGGCATTCCCAAAATGATATCGAAGTCCTTGTCCAAAATGTCGAATGTCACCGGTTTGCATGCATGAGGTGCGAAATACACTGGTACGGCCTCAATGTAACGGTCGATAAGTTGTTGCATCCTTCCATCCGCCAACTTGATCGTCGTCGGGTTTGCCTTCCTCCGGACATAGAGGAGTGGTGCGTTGTTGTCATCGTACCGCTGCTTGCGAAACTCACAAGCCACCTTGGTACATACACAAGAATGTCCCCCACCACAGCTTCGCCATCCGTCGATGAAATTAATGGTGCATAGAAGGATAGATATGTGTGGAGATGAGCGCATAATGCTGCGCATTGCGGTCCCGGCAAGCAGCCCGTGGCCGGGAGAGGAAGCCATGCGAAATCCTCCGATGTGAGCGGGTCCAAGACCTCTATGTTGAACTCGCGCGCCGAATCCCGTGAAGAACCACTTGAAGACGATGAGTCACCACTGTCGGACGGAGAAGATGACGAAAACACGTCTTGTCCTTGAGCATGAGTACCCAGCGTGGGAACGAGATGGGCAGCATAGTCCTCATAAGAATATAGAAGAGGAGGACTATAGACTTCCGCATGTGCCTCGGAACGAAGGGCGGTCACCTGCAAAGTGACCGGTTCCGAAGGCGTCGAGAGTGTCGTCGATTTACTCCCGGCGGTGCTCAGTCTCCCGACTCGCCCTTGCCTTTCGACGGGCAACCCACTGTGTAGGGGAGATCACTGTTACACCACAGACAATAGCGGAATCTCGTGCGTAGGTTGTACGCACGTTCGGAGAGACCGTAGTGGGACCATGGGTCTGGAGCTGCTGCGCCGGGCCCGGGGACAGATGCGGTGTTTGTCTTCGTCTTGCCGCGTCCTCGGCCTTTGCCGGGGTGGCCACCATCCCGGCCGGCTGCGAGTCTGTCTCATTCATTGGCAGACACGGCCTCGCTAAAAGGGTCAGTTGGCGTTGCCGCTGCAACCACGGCCACTTTTCGGCCGATGCTGATCTCTGCTCGGGCTTGTCGCTGACGAACGGTTGAGGTTCTTGGCCTCCTTGTTCGAATGATCTGCGCGACCTTGTCAAAAAGCTCCGCCGTTGTCGTCAGGGTGTCCTTGACGAGAGTCAAGGCGTTGCCCAACGCCAGACACGACGTCGTGATGAAGTAGTGTTTGACAGCCTTGAAGCCCATTTGAATGTCTGGGACAGATGTCAAGCGTTGGTACTCGGCAATCCAGTCAACACTCGGCACCGTGCCTTGTTCGAAGGTCAGCAATTTGTCAATTGCCTTGATCTCCGGCGGTTCTACTTGGAACCGCTTATGCCACGCCGCCTTTAGATCATCCCAACTGATCTTGGTGTACAAGTCAACAGCTACTACCCCATACTTGGACAAGAGATTGTCCAACCATGCTTGGCACGCGCCCCCCTACCTGGAGTATAAGTACGAGTGTTTCTTGTCCTCGCTGACGTGATGTAGCTGCAACTTGAGTTCAAACTTGCGGAACCACGGAATCGGGTCCATCTTCCTCGAATCGCAGAAGATCTGCTCACCATCGAACTTTGGAGTCGTCTCGCGCGGTGCCGAACTCGGGGGCGGCGGCAGCACAGATCCGCTGATCCAGTTGTTGTGTGGCGGTTTGCTGCAGCTGTGCGCCGTCCTTGAGGGCTCTGACGTTGATCTCCAATGCATTGAGGCGATCGGAGGTGTTGGAGGAGCTGGCATCGGGGGCGGTGACGGGTCGTTGCTGCAGCTGCTGGAGGTAGCTGTTGACTTGATCAAACGCCCGTTTGTGCGTCTAAACCGCATCGTCGAGGCTGTGGATGTCCTCCTGTTGTGCAATGCACGTTGCCAGTAGATCCGTGAAATGGGAGAGGAGTAGAGCGATCTTGCTTTCACTCTCTTCCATCTTACCATTCTCGGCCTCGGCTCGCCAGTCCGCTGCCATTGTGAGCAAAGCTCGCTCTCCGTTGAATATCTTCTCGCGTCATTGATTTCGTTCTTCATCGGCAGCCTTTGCTGCTGCCTCGTCTTGCAGGCGTTGCTGTTTGATTCCCAACAGAAGTGCCTTCTCAGCATCCTCTGCCTTCTTCTTCTCTGCGGCTGCTACCTCATCCACCCGTTTCTTGGCTTCGGTAATCAAAGTCAGCATCCGGGCCTGATAGGCCTCGGCCGTTTCCCTAGACTTCTGATCCATGCTGGCTGTTTGTAAGCTCGTGAGCATAGACCAGGTTGGAGGACTGCTGACGTGGCACTGCCCGGCTGCTGACGTGGCATGGCTGTTGGCTGACGTGTCCTGCTGACGTGGCAACTCACCAATGCCGCCGTAGGGGGTACCCGGAGACAGATAGAGAAGATAAGACCAGAGGGGGCAACAACATAGGTGGGGAGGGGTGGGTGGGATAAATCACTCAGATAAGGAGCCACTAATCGAAAAAAGAAAAGTTTGAACTTTTGCAGAGAAAATAATTTCGAGAAATTAATAAAAATCCCGAGTTTTGCAAGTTCAGTAGGTCTCCCAATCTCCCTTAAACAAGAAGAACAACGAAAATTGGAATTTTCAGAAAAAGAAAAAAAAAAATCGATTTTGGCAGTTAGGTCTAGATGTCAGATCAGGTTGTCTTGATTCATGCCGTGCTCCGATACCAACTGATACATGTCTAGTTTGGCAATGTATGTACAGCCAAGGATCCACAAGGTGATGAAAAGGACTGAATGGACAATGCAGTGTTAGTGGAATTTCTACAAGCAATGTACATCCTGATACATACAAAATGGCAATTTATAGCGCAGTGGAAGACGAGTCCTCACCTGACGGGACTGACAGGACATCCCATCATACTTCACACATGTGAGAGGAGGAGATACCAAACTGTTGCATACCATAATGGTGCAAACCAGAACAAGGACCGACCTCCCTAACATAGTACAAATATCAATGATCAACCCAATCAATGCTGCAATGCAGACTAAACATACATCGTCATCATTACAAGGTGTGAAGGGGCCTGGCACTCAGACAGGAAGAACGCGCCAGCCCCAAACATCCACAGACGAAGAGTAGGGGGATTAGACGAAGATGAGGGAGAAGATGGGAATGTCGTCACACAAGTGTCACTGGGATCGATCCCAAATAGTCCCTCGTCAATGTCTCGATCAAAAAGTCGAGTCTGTATCCAAATGTCGTCAACATCCCCAAAATCACCAATCTCTCTCGCGCTTGTAGTCTGCTGATGCCGAGAAGTCAGATAGCGAGAGGGTGAGGAAGAGATGGTGGACTGAGAGGAAGAAGAAGAAGAACTCTCTCTCTCTCTCTCTCTCTCTCTC